CTAAAAAGTTTATTTTTTTAATAGGATAGGGTGACAAACGAGCAAACAGTTCACCTGATGGTAAGTGGTTGCTGTGGCCCACAGACATCTACATCTATCCTCGATTACGAATCAAAATGCAGATGCGTCGTCACCCGTGAGGACTAAGATGGAATACATCGTTTACAGTAAAAAGGGTCTCCGGTTCTCTACACTCACCATACGAAACACAGCAGCATTAAGCTACTATTTCACGCTGGTATTCTGTGAGAGCGTGGTCCTTCCCCGGTCGAGCCGACCCATTCGTGCTACAACTATATTATTAATATAACTGCAGCATGGCTCCACCACGTATAGATAATCCTTTACGTGTTTAATAAAATATTTTAAACTTGGAGTTACAATTATTAGAACTTATGACGCATTCTAACTAACTGGTTTTCTTCGTCGTTCTTCACGCTTACTCCAAAGGAGTGGAATGATTTGCCAGCATCTGACTTTTCATATAATTAAAATATAGGTGTCTTCAAGGCAAGAGTGAATGCGCTTCTCTAAAGATAATTCAGTGCTACCATCTTTGGCTGCATCACCATTTTCCATCCGGTGGCTTAGTATTCAAGAGCTGACTTGGAATGGTTGAGAAAATGTCATCAAAGGACAAAGTAACAAAATGTTAAGAGCAAATTCTATTGAACTTACAGTCATTTCATAACTAAGTATTAGAATCGCGTATACCTTTGTGAATGAACTCAGGTGCTCATCTTGTTAGTAATGATAAGTTTTATCTCGTCTTTGGCAGATAACACGCTAAAATTTCTAAGTTTACACAGATAAAAATTACGTTTTTTAGGTACGTTAGTTGAGAAATTCTGTTGACCCAAATAATAGTTAAAGCTTTATATTTATGTAGCAGATAATAATTTAAAATTAAATAAATAAAAAAATTAATACTTAGCCGGTTTAAAGTCGCAAGATACGGAGAAATAGATTTTATTACAATAAGGATAATGTGGTCATCCGGTTAATATGCTCATTTTCTTACAACTTAAAAACATCAGCTTTGTTTGCATGGATGGCCTTGCGATACGATCGCTCTTCATCAGTCAATCAAATAATAAAGGGTCAAAAGTGCCTTTCTAATCGACGCCACTATGACAGTTTACATTATAGTAAATATTTTAGTCGATTTTAGTACGGTGTAGTTGAGTTAATTTTTCGAAGTGTTCATAATTATTGCCAAAGCTTATTTTTTTTCTTAATATATTAGTTATAGTATACAACTCTGTGTTTTTGTCTCTGTCATCCTCCTAGTTTTGGTTTCATAGGGCGGCAAAGCTTAAGGTTACCATATTACTCACTACCTTATTTAAAATATTTTTTCTTTGTGTCTTCTAGCGATGTGGTGTAATTTTAATAAATATGTAATGATAAAACATTGATTGAACAAACATAATATTTTATACCTGAAATAAATTTCTAAAGCCTTATTACTCGTGGGAATCGATTTTATTATTTCGTAAATTACTAGCAATTATTTCTTTTTTCTTTTTTAAAACCGTAATCAAAGTTCTATTTTCTTGAGTACTGTGAAGAGGCAAGTCGACTAATATTTTAAGTTTACCATACATAATTCGCGCAAGGACAAACATCCAGACCCAGAACAATTATTGTAGATTATACAAACACTAGACTTGTTGCATTCCGAATTCGAACCCGCGGCAGCGCAACGCCGAAACCATATAGTAACTGCGCAGCCAATTTGTCGATTTTTTGGATTAAAGTATTTAGAATAAGTTATGAACAATTTAGAATAAGTTATGAACAACTTAGAATAAGTTGTGAAAATTTTCCTTTAAATCAAATCGACTGCTTTTGCTTATCGCATTCATGCCGATTTGCATCGAATATACCTTTTCAACTCTCAATTAGAGATTTTCATAAAATATTTTTGCTCCAATCCCTAACAAGGTAAAGCCTTAGATAAAGCCACACCGCCATCTTTAATTTGAGAACCTGCGCGATTGTTTCCCGAAGGCGTGATGCGATAAACGTTTGGCGCCACTGGCTGTTGAATTCGTAATTTAAACTTCAGAGAAATGTGACCGGATGGCGACGTGTCTCGCCCGCGCTGCATCAACGAACACAGAATATATAACATTTTGTTCATGTTATACGTGATAGAGACACGCTGCAGCTATATTGTGGTTGCAGCACGAACGGGTCGGTTCTACCGGGGAAGAACCATGCTCTCACAGAATACCAGCGTAAAATAGTAGCTTAATGCTGCTGTGTTTCGTATGGTGAGTGTAGAGATCCGGAGACCCTTTTTACTTAAAACAAGTCATTCCATCTTAGTCCTAGCTTAGTCTTAGTAGGATAAATGTAGATGTCTATGGGCCACTGCGTACACTTACCATCAGGTGGACTGTGTGCTCGTTTGTCGACCTTATTCCATAAAAGAAATTGGGCTGTATCGCTATATAACATATATTGTGAGAATACTAAATACCAGCGACGCGCTGAGGCTTCACCTGGACATGAGAAAATCAAAGACTATTTTTTTATCAATTTTTCGTTTTCTTTAATCTTCTTGAAAAAATCCCTTACCGGCATTGCTCTCTATATGTTCGTAACGTCTCATCGCAATCGGTTTCATTCCTGCGATTAATCCTGGCAGAAGGACAGACAGACAGACTTTTTTTGTATATGTTAATACCGTGCAAATAACCTCCTGAACTTAATAAAAGACAGTTAGCTTTAACATTACACATAGATACTTAGATTTTATTTGTATGTATGTACCTATAGGTAATTATACTTATCTAATATTTTGTCAAAGAAAACTACGTATTAATACTCTTTGTCATTTTCCCGAAGGTTGGATACATAATAGGTACTGTATATAGAAAAATTTACAGATCCATTGGTCCAACTCAAGAACGCTGACTGTTCAATGATGACAAATTAACAACTAAAAAAAATTTTGGAGTTCATCACAGCAAACCCAATACGATGGAAGTACGAAGTTTTGTACTTCTGGTGCATCTGAAGATTAAGCCGATTAATAAGCGGTGATCACCAGCAGCTAAACGTTGTGACAACTATGAAACTGCAGTTTTTGCAATTTCAGTTCAAATGACAAGCGCAGTACGCCGAGCCTATAATTACGGCTAATTCATTATGACACAGTACCTAACTGTATACACCTACTTTATTTAATGATATACGGCAGACGGGATTATGGCGCACAAATGTGTGCGCAAGTACATTTACACCCTTAATTCCTTCATAGTCCGACTATGAAGAAATTAAGGGTGTAACCATACTACAGACACGATCGGAGAGAGTACGCACTACACAATGCACGCGACTGAAACACCGTGAACTTCCCGACTCCGGGCTACTGCTTTTTCTTGACAGACAAACCCAATGGCTAACTTTACGACGACCTGGGACTTGGATTTCACTACAACCACTAACCACGCACTCTTTTTTATACAACTAAGGATGACAAAAGAGCGCAGTACTGATAGTTTTGTCAGTCTAATAGATACCTATAACAATTAACAGCGTTGAAACCCCTAAGATGTGAAATTAAATGCCTCGTCACCAGTAAAATTGTTTTCCAGTTGTCACCTTAAGACGACACATCGAAAACGATATCGCCGTACTGATCCGAGTGAATACATAATTTCTATAAAAACTTGAAGAAACGCCGTCATAAGGTCTAAAATTGCGTAGCTCCCGCGACGATTAAAAGCGCTTAGAAATTGTCAGAATCTTAACATATTTTTTAAAAAAATTATTGATTTAAGTTATCAAAATAATGAGCAAGTAAATTATGAATATTGATGTTATGAATATATTTGAGTGATTCCCAAGCATATAGATCAAATGATTTCGTTGTAATTTCAACTATAATGATTTTTTAGAGGTGTTTTCGCAAATAATTATGATCGAGTCAAAATTATACAATCGTGTTTTTGAGCAATCAAATTCAAGATATAAAGACATGAATTTATCTATATCAAAATCCCACTTTCATTAGTGGTGTCATAGTCCTATACTATTCGATGAAAGGAGGTGCATTTTTTTCACGGTGTCGCCTTAAACGAAATACCAACAGTATTATGCAACTATTTTACGGCGTGAGTGTCGTCCTTCCTCGGCCGGGTTAACCTAGCCACAGTCACTACTGCTGTTATCATTATCATCATCTGAGTATTCAAGATCGGAAACTGGAAGGTTTCTCTGACATTTCCCACAGCCGCCTCTTACTATAACGCATGCGGAACAAAATAGAGACATGGATTCTCTTACGCAGTAATCACACGGCACAACTATTACGTGTAAAATAGGGAAATGTAAAATAAAGAAAATGAATAAGAATTGTATGAGCCTGTGTCCCATACAGTACAGAGGTGAAATCTATGTCGTTTTAAAGTACAGACGTTCTATATAAAGAATTCTATATAAAAAGTGCATGTAGCTACGCAGTAGTGGACAAAAGTTACGAGGGTTTAAAAAATTGATTCTTTCACTCGGTTTTTATCATAACTACACAATGTACATATTCATAAGGTTATAATTTAACGTGTGTTAATATATGTTAATGACTATGCATTTGTCCCAGACGTTTAGAATACATAGAAATTTAGTTAAAAAAAACAGGGGTAACATATCAAAAACAATTATTTTTATGAGGTTAGTTATTGTTTGTTTTCCCTACTATGATCTCTTTCAATATTATATGGCTACATTAAAGGTACATTAATACTGAAGAGTGATTTCTAACAGAAAAAATCACTTTAAATACTTTTATAAACTTGGTAATTTTAACAGATGCTATGAAATGTTAATTGTTATTCATAATTCTTTCTTTGCTTTTTAAAATTAATAGCAATAGTTTTATATTTGTACAGCTTGAGGCACATTTTGGCTATGGCATTTTTTATATCAACTATAACACTCAATTATCTAGATTAAACGTATAATTCTTTATTCTCAGATGGCGTAGCGTAATGGAGGGCGAGTGCTCGGAGAGCGCGGAGGGCTGGCTGTTGGTGCGCGTGCACGTGCCTGAGCTCAACGTCCAGAAAAGCCTGCAGTTCCCACGCGACCAGCTCGTGTGGGACGTGAAGCAGCAGTGTCTCGCCGCCTTGCCCAAGGTTTGTACCCTGTTGTATAAACATTTCGAATAATTTTATAATAGGTACTTCTTTTTCATAAGGCTTTTGACGACGGTTATCACACAACTGCTACTTGTTCTATTAAGGTTTTATTGTGATCCTGTGACAAACATCCATTAAAGGCGATGGTACATTACTTTTTAACATTTTTGAGCCTTTGCAAAATCTACTTAAATATAATTATTGCGCTAAAACGAAAAAGAATTATGAAAATTAAACATACGGACTAAATCGCAATTTAAACTTGTACCTTGCAGAGATTCCATAATGAAACCGTATAAAACTTATTACAAATGACAAGGCTTATTGTTTTCAGATCGTATTGAAAACACATTTTTCAAAAAAGTTTTTATATATCGAACAGTACACGCGCATGCTTCCGCTTCGGCCAGTGCCTGCCGAAACATCTTTGACGTAGGACGTAGTTAGTTTTTTCTAAAAATTTTCGCGTTTTAGTAATTATTCACTCTACAATTGCGGAAAGCGACATCACGTTTTCATACCTGTACACCGTGCTAACGGATTTAAGTAGATACCTAAATATAAAATGAATCAGAAAAAAAAAATTCCAAACGCAGAATAATAATGCGTTCCGGAGCTCCCATGCTTACAAGAGTAAATCTTACAATCATCCTTTTTTCTCGTTACTTCGTCGTATTGTTGTGTATATAAAAGGAAGTTTTTTTTAAATTTGGATTTATTTTACCAGTCAGAGTTCACACTAAAATACATAACGCCATATTTCCGTGACAATTAAATTTATAGTGGTTATTAAAACAAGGAGGTTGTAAAATCATTAAATCTCCTAGAAGCCTGTATCCGTAGGCGACTGACATTACAGAAAGCTATTTCTAGCTTTAATCTAGGGAATACCGAAGGCGCGGGCACTTAAGATCTATTTATAGCACGGACAAAGACTACCTATCGAAGGTTGGTCCTAACTCGGCGGGTTTGTCAACATAATTCAACTTTTAGATCTCTAGTATGAAACATAAGGGACCGAAATAGTTCAATAAGATCAGCCTAGTAGTACGTAGTTCAACATTTTTTTTCATAAAAGTGAAGGGACAATTGTACTTACAGTCTACAACAGTGCAACTAACTTCAAATAAACAAAGAGATGACAAGGTATCTGTAGGCTACAGATGATGATGAAAGATGGATCATACGTGGTACTATCATACGTAGTGTTGCCAGGTCTAGCAAGTAAAATTTCGGGACGGAAGGTAAAAAATAATCGGGAATTTGGTTTTCACATCGGAACAGCTACAATGGCTGCAAAATATAGGTTTTTTTGTAGCCTTTTTGTGCTTATAATTATAATTTTATGATTATTATTCAGGTCTGATCTCATGAACGAATAACTTTTCATCCAAACATCGTAATAACTGCATATTATTCGTCTATGTTTTTTCGCTTTAGGCAAATCAAAACATTTTTGAACTATTTCTTTTTTTTCAGTCTCTGAATTTTTCAAATCTCAAACTCATCTTTTCAAATCTCGATTGGTGAGAAAATGTCGTAGTAAAAATATTTTTATGTAGTAGTAGATAACAGATATAATCATTTTTGCTGTCAAAATTATGGCTTTTTTTTTTACATGGGGAAATGCCTACGCATACCCGCCTCGCGGGGGCAAGGACGGGTTATGTCGGACTCGCACCGACTAAAACCCCATGGTGTTCCACCTTCGTCGCATATTGGCAGGGCTACCGGAACGCTTTCGCACACTTCCGCGGCCCCACCAGCGACTGCCGCCCCATGGCAGCACCTCATCGGGAGAGGAATATTCCTCCCCGTTCTCCTTCCCAAGTAAGGCGCACCAGAACACATGGCACGCCTTCCTCCACGGCCTCCAATTACATCTGCGCAACAGACGCCCCCCGCGTCCGATGCGCGAAGGCCATGGGGCCAGGAAAAACGAGCACTTAGAAGTACTAGCCTTCCCGACCCCAGCGGCGGATCTGGTCTATGGCTCCGCCGCCAACCAAGATTCGGCTGCGGAGGATAGGGAGAGCGGCGCCTCGCAATACCGACAATCCTCTCCCCCCGCAGCCCCATCACCACCGCATCAACGGTGCGGCCCCGTTTGAGTCGCGGAGGATAGGGCGAGTGGCGCATCGCCATACCAACACTCCTCTTCCTCCGCGACTCCACCTCGGCTGCAGCGGTAGGTGGGGAGGACACACCTCTCACCGCAGTCCACCAACACACATCCGAAGTGGGCTTCCCAAGCCCACTCGGAGTGGCCACCTCGGGCCGGCCCTCCACCTAGACCAGCCATATGGGTTCCTCTTTGTTTCGCCGTGGGTGACCAAGCCACGGCTTCTAAGCCCCCCCGCCACGACAAGGCGGGAACCCGTTCGGGGGGGAAAATTATGGCTTAAAGTATGTAATAAGAAAGTTTGTGAAAATCGGGACATTTCGCGTTCCGATCAATCACCGTCTCAATCATATACCGATTTATTATAAATTCACTGGAATAGTTTATTCTAGAGAGTTGTAACACAGACGCCATTTATTTCAATGATAAATGTTTGTTGGGACTAACAATTTATTTTAGACAATATTTATAAAATTTTGTCTTTATCTGATAACTAGGCAAGATAATTTTTTTCCTCGTTGTTGACTTTTATTAGTACGTCTTTATAAAGTGTGATATATCTAATAACTTAAGAGGAAATATAATCTCAAATGGCTTAGCAAGATCCTCCGTCATGCCGAAAATATTGCAGCATTAATTTTGAAATAAATATATGGTAAAGTTGAGGATTAATGTTAAGGACTATGTTAGCCGAAAACGCGATTCCGTAAAATTTTCTCGATAAAAAAATCCAAAGTTACCTCCAAAATAAACAATAAACCGCTGTTATTCATAAAATACTTTAAATAAGATCATGAAACTTTGCATACTAACTGAACTAACTATAAAGCATTGCTATATATTATTAAGGGCATCAAAAGAGCAAAAAAAAAAAAGGATTCATTATGTGTCTAAAGTCCAACTTTACCTTTCATGGCGATTTATGGCGGCTGTATGAGTGTAAGAGACTGTTTTCGTGGAAGCCAGCAGAATGAATTCAAAAAGCGTAAATTCAACCGCATAATTAAATCGTCTATTTTATGTACTTCGTGACAAAAACAATTAGACGCATGACGGCTAAGACGTCATTAGAACTAGGGAGAGAACGCCGGTAGTTCGATAGTTTATTCATTCAAAATTCAGTATATTATAGTTTAGGTGGTCGACGTTAAAAGGAATATGCATTGCCTAAAATTTGTGTAAAAAATTGATGTAAACAAAAACGATTATACTGGCGTATTTAATATAATTTAATACAATAATTTTATGTTTGGTTAACACATACTCGGCGATCCTATTGATATATTTATTATCAGTTAAACGTAATCCGTTTTCATACAAAAATAGGGTGCGTTTGGCAGAAAAAAGCGCTAGCAAGCGCTTGTAAGCAAAATGGCGATCGTAAGCGGTAAGCGCTGTCAAATCGTAAGTAGCTATTTTCCTCCAAGACACGATGTTAGTTTTAACCGGGGGAATCTAACCTAATTTAAATATATGTTTGTAAAGTATTCATATTAAAAACTTACCAATCATGAGTTTTTAATAGCATGTATATGTTTATTCATGTCATTATATTACTTAAAACTAATATTGCACAAAACAACTTATAAACTCTACTTCAAAACAAACAAATTAAATAAGCAAAATGGCGGATTGTGTCAGCGCTACTGAAGTAGCAATTGTGTCCTGGCCGAAAACTATTTTAGCGCTTATAAGCGCTTGCTAGCGCTTTTTTCTGCCAAACGCACCCATAGTTTAATGTTGAGTCCCGCGAAACTATGTGAAAATTTAAATTATGGAATTTTACGGCAAATGTCAAATTTTGAGAAGAATCTGGCGCTGCAGCTAATCGACTTCTTTATTTAAATCACACACTTTAGTTTAAATCTGAAATCAAATAGAAACTACTTTTCCTAATAAGACGGGTGGAAAATTGGTGCTGTTATGTTTGTAGTTGTAAACTTCCGTAAGATCTGTGTTCTCACTCAACTGATTACTGAAACGTTAAACACCATGTCTCACTTTCTACGTATTATAAAAAAATATCCATAGTGTGATTTCGGTGAATGTTCGAAAGAATTTAATCGATGTAATAACTTAAGGGGAAATATAACCTCAAATGGCTTAGTAAGGTCCTCCGTTATGCCGAAAATATTGCAACATTAATTTTGAAACAAATATATGGTAAAGTTGAGGATTAATGTTAAGGAATATGTTAGACGAAAACGCGATTCCGTAAAATTTTGTCGATAGAAAAAAAATCCAAAGTTACCTCCAAAATAAACAATAAACCGCTGTTATTCATAAAATACTTTAAATAAGATCATGAAACTTTGCATACTAACTGAACTAACTATAAAGCAGTGCTTATGTTTTTTTTTAAATACCATTATTTTCACTGTAAAAAGAAATTACCTAAACTATCGGCCTCTTGAAGCTTGATTCCTGCCGCCCGGTCAGTTTCGCTTCGGCCTTTGAAGTGGGACAACAGGACGAGGTAAAATTAAAATGGGAAATAATCGTAATAAAAATAAGAAGCGACTGGGTTGGCGTTAAGAAACATGCATAAATATGATAAACCTAATGAAATAAGTATCTAACTACCTATCTACTTACAGTATTAGTGATTACAAACATGTTGGTACATAGCATACGACACGCGGGGAAGTGGGGGCGAAATTAGGATTTGAGCTGACTTACTATATCCCCTTAAGATTCGCCTCACGGTTGATTTTAAATTTCAATGTCAGTAGTTTATTTCATGGTTAATTATAAAAACTATCATCTCGATTTTGCTTAAGTTTTTACTGTTTTGTTAACATTTTTTATTCCATGGAGAATTGAGTATGCTACTGAATCTACTATGAGGGTTCTACCATTAGAGATTTTGCCGTTG